CCTCTGTGGTCTTCCCTTGCTAACCCAAAAACTCCTGTCTAACCATGAGAAAAACAGCAGTTAATTTCCAATAGATTCCCGGTGGTGGTGGTGGCTCACACCTGTAATCCCAGCACTTTGGGAAGCTGAGGTAGGCAGATCACTTAAGGTCAGGGGTTCGAGACCAGCCTGGCCAACATGGAGAAACACTGTCCCTATTAAAAATACAAAAGTCATCTGGGTGTGGTGGTGCACACCTGTTATTCCAGCTACTTGGGAGGCTGAGGCAGGAGAATCATTTGAACCTGGGAGGAAGTGGTTGCAGTGAGCCAAGATCGTGCTACTGAACTCCAGCCTGGGTGACAGAGCAAGACTCTATCTCAAAAATAAATAAATAAATTTCCAGCAGGGGGCAGTCTACAAAATACCTGACCAGGACTCCCCAAAACTATCAAGGTCATCAAAACTGGAGTCCCTGTGACAACCAGGAGTCATCTAAGGAAGCATGACAAATAGATATAATGTGGTATCCTGGATGGAATCCTGAAGCAGAAAAAGGATATTACGGTACTAGGTTAAAAATTAAAGGAATACCAACAAAACATGGACTTTAGTTAACAATCATTATGTCAGTATTGGTCCCTTAGTTGTGATAAATATGCCACTAACGCAAGATGTTAGTAATGAGGAAAACCGGGTGGACGGCATTCAGGAACTCTCTGTATCACCACTGCAACTTTTATTTAAATCTAAAGCAAGCCCCCTCCCTTACACTGCTTGCTAACCCAAAAACTCCTGTCTAAAGAAGAATTCCCTCTTTTCTCCTTCTGTGAGTCAAGGTAGGCTTAGTAAAACAAAGAGAGGTATCCCCAGGAAGACCCCAGCATGGAAAGTCACCTCTTTTTCACCCCTCCACCCCCCACCCTCATAAAACTACAAATGTAGGAAGAATTCTCTCCAGTGCGCCAGAAGGAATGGACAAGTATCAAGAGGACGCCTCCCAGACAGGACAAAACCGATGTGCCTTTCTGTCTTTTACACACACGAATTACCCATTGAACATGTTCAGAATCACGACACTGCAATTTCCCTGAAAAGAATTATTATATCTAAGGACACCAATTTACCAGTTTCACAGTCACTCTGTACTGGCCTGACTTTGTAGCCAGCTGTTAGCACTTCCTCCCCCTCCCCCATTGCCAGGAGGTGATGCTAGGAATTCGCAGTAGGAATAAGGAGCTGGAGCAAGATTCCCACTGGCAGGTGGGCAGCTGGACTTCCTCAGGCACGACTGGCCTGCAAACCATATAGGTCAGGAAGCAGATGTCCGGGCTGCCAGAGCATCTCCCGATCCTGTGAAAAACAGGTATTTTCCCAGTTTGGAATATTGTGGATCCAATTTCAAACATCCTGCCTTCCACTAGGATGAGCCACACACCCCTGACCCTTAGCCCCTCAACTCTGCTCCTGCTTAGCACAAATGTGTGGGTAGCAGAAAGCAGGGTGAGGAAGAGGGCCAGGAAACAGAGCACGGATTTTACAGATGAGCTTTAGTTCTCCCAGAAGGGCTGTCTCCAGTCATTCCTCCTGAAATGTTATCCACACAGGCCTTGAAGCAACCTTTATGAAAGCGCAGTTGCCTCACGGCCCACATCATGTTTCATCGATGACTAAGGTGGGTTCTTTTATCCTCTATCTAAGCTTTATGTTTTGTGTGTGGATGAATATGTGAAAGCTGATGGAGAAGACTAATCTGCAGTCACACTTCGGAGTCTGTCTACGAGGAGAAACATCCCACTACAAATGTGAGCTCAAAAAGAAAAGGAGAAAAATGAACGGGCAGCACTCGTCCCTCCTCTTCTTGCCATGTACAGGTCAAAGGGAGGCACAGCTATGGCCCAGAGATACCTCTCTGATCCATACCACATGCTCATCTCTCCTGGCATCCTCCACACCCTCCCTCCACCAGCCCTCTTCAGCTTAACTCTCAGAAACACAGTTGGTGCCTCAGTAGGTCTGATGCCAGCCTTTACTCAGAAGGTGCTTAATCCAATTAGAGTATTCTATCACATTAGAGAGCTCACACTGGTTCTCTCCCTCTGCAGTCGGGCCCCATACACAGAGAAACCATCTGGGACTCAGCCACGTTCAGTGAAGAATGTGGATGGCATGGGCATCCTTCCCATTTGGGGATCAAGCCTTCTCTTCTTCAGTTGCAGCTCCTCCAGTGTAACACACGTCCATTTATCAAACTCCCATCTCTTTTCACTTCCTGTCACTATCACATATTATCTGAGTTTACTCAGTCACTGGATTTCTATTTATGTATGGTACACTATGGCTCACCTATGAGACAGGGCAGTGTGTGGATCAGGGTTATTTCCAGGGAAGATAGCTTGGTCTATATCCACAGGGACAGCTTACGAGGAGAAAGGACATGCAAGAAGAGAAAGCACTGCTGGCATCCCTGTCTGTTCTGTGCCAAGAGCCATCATGTTCCTGCTTCCACTCCAATCTTATTCCCATGCCCTCCATGCATCTAAGAGGAGGATGCAGTGCCAATAAAGCCTTCCAGCACATGAATAAAATTCATATTCCTTAACACTTTCCAGTCCAGCACTGCCACATCTCCACAGCAGGCGAAACTCTCTTTTCTAAGCAAGCTCCATGCAAACATTTGGGTATACATCCAGTGGTCTCGTAAAACATGTCCTGGGTGTCACATTCAGAATGGGGCATCAGAAGATGAAAATGAGACATGGGGCTGATGGAAGAGCTTAATTATTTTCCCTTTTGTTTCTCCCTTCAATCAAATTTTCCTCCTTATCCCACCAGATTTTAAAGTACCACTTATTAAATTCCAGTAATTACTCATTCATTCTGACTCATAGTTCACAAAATATCTGGGATTTATTCTATTCCATATTAGAACCCCCACAGCCCATACCAAATTATACCACCCCACAGTTGACATTTGTTTTTCCGGCAGGAGAATACCATTTGTGGGACGTCATGTTTATGATCGTTTCTTTGGTGACATTTCACACCTGCCACATTAACACCCACGAGCTCAGAGAGAGGGAGTGCAAGTGAGAATCGACAAGCAAACTAGCACTGCCACTCTCAGCTGATTCGCAAGAGGTGCGTGAAAGGAAGCTGCCCCAGTACAGCAAGATTAGAGGACAGCCTTTCACGCAGACTCCTGGACACAGGAAACCTGACTGCTTCTTCCCATATAGTGACACATAGGCTGTTCTCCGCCTGCTTGGTTTTCACAAACAGAGATGGGCCTGACAACCTCAGAGCCCCAGTCTCAAATGTTCATGTGAATTTCTCTTTAAAATGGAAATACACGTTTTATCTGGTAGACATACAAATCTTAAATATACAGCTTGATAAGGTTTACTCAAGGGTACACCCATGCAATCAGCCACCTCAATAGAGTATTCTCAATGCTTGGGATGGTTCCTCAGTGCCTAGGCGACTGGCCTTCTAGAGTCAACCATTATTCTAACTTTATCACCACAGATTTGTTTTGAATGTTGAGCTTTCCATGAATGCAATTATACAGTATGTGGCACTTTTCAATCCACTTTATGTCTATGAGCTTAATATTTATAGTTATATATATTTATAGTTTACATATATTTTTAGTTTACATATATTTATTATTTATAAATATATGTTTATATTTATATATATTTATAGTTTTGGTTTTCATTTTCATTGTTATTACATATATTTATTACATATAATTATAGTTTCGGTTTTCATTTTCATTACCGTATAGTATTCCATTGTGTGACTACAGCACCACGCATTGTTCCCTTGTACTTCTGATACACAGAATAATTTCCAACTTTTAGCTATTATGAATGATGTTATGACATTGCTGTTAAGTATATTGTGGTGAACATAAGTATTTCTTTCTCTTGGTATATTCTTGGGATAGAATTTGTTGAGTCATAGGGTACATCTATGCTTATTAGATACTACCAAACGTTTTCCCAAAGCGGTTGTACCACTTTCATTTCCACCAGCAGGATATGAGAGTCCAATTTCCTTCATAATTGGCATCGTCAATCCCTTCAAGTTCAGTGATTCAGGTTGGTATATATCAATATTTCACAGTCTAATTTTACCTTTTCATGATGAGTAATAGCACTGAGAACTTTTTCATATGTTTGTTGGCCATTTTAACACTATCATTTTGAAGTTTCTGATTAAGCATTTTGGCCATTTTAAATATGATTGCCTGCCTTTTTTATTGATTTAAAGTTCTGCCTACAATCCTTTGTGGTATATAAAGTTCTTAATTTTAACAAAGTTCAAATTATCAATCTTTTAAAAATAATTGCTGCTTTACAATATTATTTAATAATTATTTTTGTACCCCAAAGTCATAGAGATAATCTACATTTTCATTTCTTCTAGAAGGTTAATTGTTTTAGTTTTCACATTTAGATCCCAAGGCCATTGCAGGTTATGTATTGTATACAGAGTGAACTGGAAAAAGCAAGGATAAAGGGGTCTTATTTGGCCATTAGAGTTGATGTATAAAGAAAGACTTCAGTATATCATTTTTGCTCATTTACCAGGCAAACTTTCTTGAAATTAGAGGCAGAAATAAGACTTGAGGTAAACCCAAATATTTCCCTTCAGCAGGTTCTCAAAGTGAGTATCTCAGAAAGACCCACACTCAGCTCTGTCTGGGAAGAGGAATTCAACTGTTGTGAAGCATAACCATAGAAACCTACACTCCACACCTTCTGTTTCAACTAAAGGAAAAATAAAACAAAACAAAAACCATAATCAATGTGGGATTCAAGGAAAGAAATTCAGAGTGTTGCAGTCAGTGAGGGGAATCGAAATCAGGTATAGAGGAGAAACCTATTCTACCAGAAGAGAGTAATAAACACCTTAATGGAATTTTTTTAAAAATCTCTTTGATAGAGTTTTGACATAGCTGAGGAAAGGCTCAGTGAACTGGAAGATAATTAAAGAGAAACTTTACAATTGGTGCTTGCTTCGGCAGGATATATACTAAAATTGGAAGGATACGCAAAATGGTAGCATGGACCCTGTACAAAGATGTCAAGCAAATTTGTGAAGCATTCCATATTTTTCAAGTTGAATTAAAAAGCAAGACATCTTCTGTCTTCCAGAGATCCTTTTTAAACATAACATTCACAGAATCAAAGTAAAGATCAATCACACAAACAGCAAAAAGGAGCAGGAGTCAGTATCATTATATCAGATAATTTTAACTAACAACAGTAAAAAAAGGACAAAGAAAGTCACTATATAATAAAAAGGTTCAAGTCAACAAGGTGACTTAACTATCATAAATATATATGCACCCACCATCGAAGAAATTCAGAGTGTTGCAGCCAGTGAGGTGAATCGGAATCAGGCATAGGGGAGAAACCTATTTTACCAGAAGAGAGTAAGAAACATTTTATGAAGGCCACAACCTTAAATGCAGGCAAATCAAAAAAGCCTGAGTACTTGTTCATAAAACAAGTACTTCTAGACCTAAAAAAAAAAAAAAAAAGGCCTAGGCTGCCATATAATAATAGTGGGAGACTTCAACATCCCACTGCCAGCATTAGACAGATTATTCAGGCAGAAACTAACAAGGAAGTTCTGGACTTAAATTTGACACAACCAATTAGACCTAATAAACGTCTATAGAACAATCCACCCATCAAGCACAGAATATATATTCTTCTCATCTGCACATGGAACATATTCTAATATTGACCATATACTCAGCCATAAAGCAAGTCTGAATAAATCTTTTAAACACTGAAATCATACCAATGATACTTTCAGGTCACAGTGAAATAAAAATATAAATCAGTACCAAGAAGATCTCTCAAAACCACACAATTACACGGACATTAAATAACTTGCTGCTAAATGACTTTTGAGTAAACAGGGAAATTAAGGCCAAAATTTAAAAATTCTTTGACATAAATGAAAACAAAACACAACATCTCTGAGATGCAGCCAAAGCAGTGTTAAGAAGAACAGTTTATAGTGCTAAATGCCTAAATCAAAAAGTTAGAAAAATCTAAAATTTATAATCTTAACATTGCACCTAGAGTAACTAAAACAAGGAGCAAACTAACCCCAAAGTTAGTAGAAAAAAATAAATAACTAATCAGAGCAGAACTCAATGAAATCAAGACCCAAAAATCCATGCCAAGGATCAACAAAACCAAAAGCTTGTTCTTTGAAAGGATAAACAAGATCAATAGAGCAACAGCAAGATTAACAAAGAAAAAAAAAATTAGAGAAGCTCCAAATAAGCACAATCAGAAACAACAAAGGTAACATTGCACCCGATTCCACAGAAATACAAAAAATCATCTGCAACTATTATGAACACCTCTGTGTACACAAACTAGAAAACCTATGGAAAATGGATAAATTCCTGGAAACACACAACTTCCTAAGAGTGAATCACACAGAAACTGAAACCTTGGACATACCAATAACGAGTTCTGAAACTGAATCAGTAATCAAAACACACCAACAAAGAAAAGCCCTGGACCAGATGGATTCACAGCCCAATTTTACTAGACATAGAATGAAGAGTTAATACCATTCCCACTGAAACTATTCTAAAAAATTGAGGAGGAGGGACTCCTCCCTAAATCATTCTATGAAGCCAGCATCACCCTGATACCAAAATGTGGCAAAAACACAACAACAACAACAAAACTACAGCCCAATATCCTTGATGGGGATAGATTCAAAAATCCTCAACAAAATAGTGGCAAAATCAATCCAGCAGCACAGCACAAAGTTAATTGACCAAGATCAAATTGACTTTACTTGCAGGATACAGGGCTTGTTCAACATGTGCGAATCAATAAATGTGATTCACCACATAACAGAATTAAAAATAAAACAATGTGATCATCTCAACAGATACAGAAAAATTTTCAATAAAACTAGTATCCTTCCATGATTAAAACCCTCAATAAACTAGACATCAGAGGAGACATACCTCAAAATAATAACTTCCATCTATGGCAAACCCACAACCAACATCGTATTGAATGGGCAGGACGCGTTACCCTTGAGAACTAGAACAAGATAAGGATGGCCTTTCTCACCACTCCTATTCAACATAGTACTGGAAGTCCTGGCCAGGGCAGGCAGGCAAGAGAAGTAAATAAAAGGCATCCAAATAGGAAAAGAGGAAGTCAAACTATCTCTCTTTGTTGGTAGTATGATTCTATACCTAGAAAACCCTAAAGATTCCCCCAAAAGGCTCCCAGAGCTGATAAGCAACTTCAGTAAAGTTTAATGATACACAATAAATACACAAAACCAGTAGCATTTCTGTGTACCAATAACATTCAAATTGAAAGCCAATTCAAGAATTCAATCCTATTTACAATAGCCACACACAAACAAAATACCTTGGAATATATCTAACCAAGGAGGTAAAAGGTATCTACAAGGATAACTATAAAACACTGATGAAAGAAGTCACAGATGACACAAACAAATTGAAAACATTCAATGCTCACAGTTCAGATGAATTAGTATCTTTAATATGGCCATATGTCTCAAAGCAATCTACAGATTCAACACCATTCTTATCAAACTATCAACATCATTTTTACAGAAATAGAAAAAAAAAACGTATTAGTCAGTTTTCCCACTGCTGATAAAGAAATACCCAAGACTGGGCAACTTACAAAAGAAAAGTTTATTGGACTTACAGTTCCACATGCTTGGGGGGACCTCACAATCCTGGCAGAAGGCAAGGAGGAGCAAGTCACATCTTATGCAGATGGCAGCAGGCAAAAAGGGAGCTTGTACAGGGCAACTCCTGTTTTAAAAATCAACAGATCTCGTGAGACCCATCCATTATCATGACAACAGGGCAGGAAAGACTCGCCCTCATAATTCAGTCATCTCCCACCAGGTCCCTCCCGCAACACGTGGGAATTATGGGAGTTACAAGATGATATTTAGGTGGGGACACAGAGCCAAACTACATCAAAAAATATTCTAAAATTCACATGGAACCAAAGAAGAGCCCAAATAACCAAAGTAATCCTCAGCAATAAGAACAAAGCTGGAGACATCGCATGATCATACTTCAAACTATATTACAAGGCTACGGTAACCAAAACAACATAGTACAGGTACAAAAAGTGATACACAGACCAATGGAACTGGATAGACAACCCAGGAATAAAACTACCTAATCATCTGTAATCATAATCATCTGATCTTCAACGAAGTCAACAATAACAAGTAATAGGGAAAGGATTCCTGATTTATCACATAGTGCTGGGCTCACTGGCTAGCTGTATGCAAAAGATCAAAACTGGACCCCTTCCTTTCACTATATACAAAAATCAACTCAAGATGGATTAAATACTTAAATACAAGTACTACAACATGGAAACCTTAGAAGAAAACCTACAAATACCATCCTGGACATTGTCCTTGGCAAATAATTTATGCCTGAATCCCCAAAAGCAATTGCAACAGAAGTTAACAAGTGGCACCTAATTGAACTAAAGAGCTTCTGCTCAGTGAAAGAAACTATCAACAGAGTAAACAGGCAACCTTCAAGAAAGAGAGAAAATATTCACAAACTATGCATCCAACAAAGGTCTAATATCCAGAATCTATAAGGAACTTAAATCAGCAAGCAAAAACAAACAAACTCATTAAAATGTAGGCAAAGAACATGAACAGACACTTCTTAAAAGAAAACATACAAATGGCCAACAAACACATGAAAAATGCTCAACATGACTAATCATTAAAGAAATGAAATCAATGTCACAATGAGATAGCATCTCACATTGGCTAGAATGTCTATTACTGAAAAGTAAAAAAAAAAAAACCCACGTTTTGTGAGGTTGCAGAGAAAATGGTACACTTACACACTGTTGGTGGGAATGCATATTAGATCAGCCACTGTGGAAAGCAATGTGGCAATTTCTCAAAGAATTTAAAACAGAATGATTCAGTAATTCCATTGCTTGGTATATACCCAAAAGAAAATAAATCATTTCACCAAAAAGACACATGTACTTGTATGTTCATCACAGCACTAGTCACAATACCAAAGACATGGAATAAACCTAGATGCCCATCTAGGTGGACTGGATAAAGAAAATGTGGTACATATACACCATGGTACATATGCAGCCATAAAAAAAGAATTAACTCACGTCCTTTGCAACGACATGGGTGGAGCTGGAGGCCATTATCCTAAGCAAATCAGCACAGGAAGAGAAAACCAAATACCATGTGTTCTCACACATGTTTAGTAGTAGCTAAACATTGAGTACACATGGGCATAAAAATAGAAACAACAGACACCAGAGACTATTAACAGGGAAAAGATGAGAAGGAGGCAAAGGCTGAAAAAATACATTATCAGGTTACTATGCTCACTACCTGGGTGACAGGATCATTCATACACCAAACCTCAGTGATATGTAATTTACCCATGTAAAAAACCTGCACATGTATCCCCTGAACCTAAAAAAAAAATTGATAAAAAAAAGAAACCTTACAAATGAAATGCAAAGAGGAAAAAAAAGAATGAAAACAATATCCAAAAACAGAAATGACATCCAAGAACCATGTGATAGTATTAAAAGGTATAAATACTAATAATCAGAATACTGGAAAGAAAAGAAAAGAAACGATGGAGCACAATAAATATTTGAAATAATAATGGCCAAGAACTTCCAAAATTAATGAAAAATTCCTCCCCCAAAACCTGCAGATTCAAGGAGCTCAAAAGTACCAAATAAGATAAACACTTAAAACACACATATACACGCACATACACACACACATACACACACACATGCACACACACACACACCCCCCTATTGAAACATCAGAAAATCAAAGAAAAATAGACAATCTCATTTTTAAAAAACCAGCAGGGAAAAAATCTTACCTACAAAAGAAGAAGGATAAGAATTACAGTGAAAAACAACCCAAAATATGGTTATTGGAAAATGTCTAGCTAGGAGACCCATTATAAAGAATAAACAAATAATATCAGAAATGAAAGAGGAGTCACAATTCATCTCGTGAGTATTAACAGGATAATAAGGGCATACTG